AAATCTAGTTTCAATCCAGCTTTTACCATCGAAAAATAAAAATAAAAAATCAAGATAAGAAACTAGAATTAGTCTAGTTAGACCAAGAAGAAAAGAAAATGAAAAAAAGAAAAGAAAAGAAAAGAAAAGAAAAGAAAAGAAGGATAGTTGATAAGGCCAATGGGCTTGACCTAATAGGCTTGTGGCCAAATAGGATTTTTTTTTACATGTTTTGATTTTGCTTAGATACTTAAATCTGAATGTTTTTTGCTAAGTTTTTTTTTGTTTCCACGTATCTTTTTTTTTTTTTCACATTCATTTGGATTTAATTTTTAGATTTTTGTCTTTGGAATTTATTTAATTAACCTTAAATTTTAGAATTTATTTTAGTAATTAGTTTAAATAATTATTTGATAAAAGAATTATCAAGTCTCTTAATTTTTAGGGATTGATATTAATTTTTTATCAATAAATAATCAAAAAAATAAAAATGATAAACAAGAAAAAAGAAGGAAAATTAATAGTTAATTTTTTGATTTTGTTTTGAAATTAGTTTAGTAGTTAACGAGTGGGTGAATTATTGAGTCTCCTAATTCTTAGGAACCGATGACGAGTTCTTCATTGATAAAATTAATTTAAAGTCATAAAGAAGTCTTCTATCCGATAGGGACTATCGTTAACAAAAAACAAAAAAAAACATAATAATAAATTTTCTTAATAAAGTCTCGTTATCTAATAGAGACTCGTTATTGTTTTAAAAATATACATCATTAACATTTAATAATCAAAATATTCTTTGACACATTGGCTATGTGAAGGTTTAAAGTAGATAAGATGTTTGAATCGACGTGTCATCCGATGAAGGGGATCGATGATTGTTTCAATACGATATCATATCCAAAAGTAAAAAACTCAATTCAACTTGGAAATTGGATTTTAAATTGAAAATAACTTGACAAAAATAAAAATACTTTTGAAGATAAATTTAGGACTAAACTAGATATGGTACCTTTCCTAAGAAACGATGACTTTGGGTGATCGATATCTTCTCAAAGGGTAACCAACTCCTTATCTTAAAATTTATACACCAATGCTTATTTTTAGGATCCTAGTTCTTTTAATACTAGATGGCAACTCCAAACTCAATAATAACTCGCATCCCTAGAATCAATCATAAATGCTATGTAAATCTCTAAAAATTTTAAAATTTTTCAAGAGTCCCGTCCGATGTTGTGTAATGACCGAATGATGACTCCATTAAGGACTTAGAGTTAGGCCATAGGTTTAGTCTATTAAGTTTATCTCATGTATTTATTTTTTACCAATTATTTTCTAAGTAATTTCTTTTTTGGCATTTAATTTTGAGCTATTTATTTCTTGTACATGTTTTAATTTTTTTTTGGCAATTTATTTGCTTATCGTATATTTATTTTTTGAACTAGGTTGGATGGTTTATTTGAACTACTACACACACCATGAAGATAACTTTTAAAAGCTCTAGAACCAAGCTAAACACCTATTATGATTTATATAGAGAGATCTAGAGCCAAGTATGATAAAATTCTACTAATGCTCTACTAGAGTCTCATTTGGACTGTAACTCGCCATATACATAGAAAATGATGAAATAACCTTTTTCTACCTACTCTTACATAAGGTTATAGGCTGAATTATCCCACTAGTACTTTAGGCGAGTTCAAAAACTTGAAAAAACTTCAAGACTAGATGAGCTTTTCCGGACTATAAAAAAAAAAAAGCTAGATCATGTCCACTAGGGTTGACCCTTTTAAGACATGAATCATTTTCAAATGATGCATGTGCTAACCTTTGGCTTTTGTAGGCCATCCTTCACAAAAATCAAGATAAGAAAAAATAAAAAAATAAAACCGAGGATTTTAGAGTTAGATCTAAGTGGCCTAAAATGATAACGGACATTGTTTGCTCCCAAACTTTGTGTCAAAGCTCGTAAGTCTAACTTTTAAGTTTCCCTAGCATTGTTATCAAAGTTACAATATCTTTAAAGCTGAAAAATATTCAGATCATGACTAGAATTGGTGGGAGATATATCTCTTGAACTGTCTAAGTATTTATGGGTTAAATTAACCCTTAGCAAGTACTAGCTTGATCCGACCCATCCTCGATAAAAACTCTATCATGATTTGATGTGCAACAAATAAAGAGATGTATCTAACCCATTTTAAATCATGTATTTTTACATTGTACTTATATTCATTGTATGTATTGCTTTGTGAGAATAAACATGTCCAAATAAACATAGGCTACACTTGACCAAAGCTCAACTCACTCAAACTCCAACAACTCGGGCAAGATGGAAAAAAAATGAAACCTAAGAGTAGCTAAGCATCTAATAAGAAATGGTCATCATGAGCAATGAAGTGCCCATTTAACTAGTTTGCTTGAGAAGGCCCTTCAGCCTAAACCGTTGGAAAATGAAGCCTCACTCGGTGAAAGATTTATTCTTTCCTCTCACAATGCTAGTTCCTCCGTCCAACTTGCCATATCTTTATACTCCTTCCATGATAGTAGCTTACCCTAAAAGACCTTTTCTAGTTGCTTCATTAGGTCATGTGGTGCCATCCATTACCAAGAAGTCTCTATTGTTACATGCCTAACCTTAGCATGTGAACTTTTCTCAAAATCACTTATCTCAAACTTGGATTCCTACACACCGACCCTAAGACAAGGAGGAGATGAAGAAAGGAAAGGGCATTAAGGTATATAGGTCAACTTAGTTTCTTGATAACGAAGAGGATCGACACGCTCAAAATCTTAAATGGCCAATTCTAATAGGAGACCATTCTAGAGTAAATGATTGAGGAGGAAAAAAGAATTTTTAAGTAAGACTGACCTTGGTGGTATGAAAAAAGGGATTGATGAATCCGTATGGAGGTATTCAAAGAGATGGCAAGCATTAGCCATTCGGATAAATCCATCATTAACTTAGTCGAAAGGGTAGATATCTCCATCAACACTTTGAGATTCCCATATTATGAACACCTAAGTGGTAGCATTTAATGCTCATTCAGGTGATCTTATGAATGCGATAAGGGAAATAGAACATGACATAGCTTTGAGAAAGGCCAAGGCTTTAGAAGACACTTCCAATGAAAGCGGATTTTGTTATAATGTCTCCAAAAACAATCCCAATCTCCATTCTCTAGAAAATCATAAAAAACAAAAGAATATTTTCTCTCATCTGCCTATATTTTCTATGCAAAACCATCAAATACGGAACCAATAATTTTTTAAAGGACCCCAAAGATCATACTTTCAAGATAGTGGTTAAAGATATCAAGACATATGTTGTAGGGCGACATTGGTGTGAGGGCGACATATAAAGGTTAAAATAAGGAAAGTGGGCAAAATGATTAGAGTTGCCACTTAGTATATTGATAAGTAGGAACCCTATGATCGGTCTATCCGAGTTTTAGACAAGGGGTTTATTACATGTAGGAAAGATTAAAAATCAACATACCCTATCTTACCTAAGGCAAGCTGCATTGCATACAACATTGATTTGATTTTAAATTTTTTTAATGATGAAAGACTATGCATGTTTTCAAATATTTGCCCCCTAATCGAGTAATTTGGGACTTGGTCGGTCGGGGGCCTTGTCCTCACTCTAGAACGGATGGCTAAAAAAGATGATGAATGCAAGAATGAATAACGTACATGACAACAAAACTCTAAGTGAGCAAATAGGCAAACAAACAAAATAGATGACTTGATAGAATAAAATAAAAATAAAAATATAGTCGGATAGGTAAAAATAGATAAAATTGACAAGTGGGAAAAATGGACGGATAGGCAAAAATGGATAAAATAGGCAAATAATGGTAAAAAATGGTAAAAAATAACAAAAATATATAGTCAAACAAGGATAAGGCAAAAATTGGCAATTATACCAAAATAGGCTAAAATAGGAAAAAATCGACATTTAGGCATAGGTAAGGAAAGAATCGATAATTTAAGAAAGAAATAAGCAAAATCGAGCAATTTAGGCGAACATAGGAAAAAATCAACAATTTAAGCAAACATAGGCAAAATTCGACAATGTGACATATGTAGGCAAAAATCGATAATTTAGAAAAACATAGGCAAGCATCGGCAATTCAAACCAAAATCGAAGAAAATCAATAATTAAGCAAAATCGACAACTAAGCTAAAAATCGACAAAAAATGACAAAAGATAAAAAATTAGCAAAATTAATTATCACAACAAGCATGGTTGATTGTGTTTGCCAAAAAAATAGGTTCACACAACAAAATTAAAATTTGCTTGATTTAATGTTGTACTGTTTGTTTTTGATAAACTTGCACGTAATTAATTTAATGTCATTATCAACATAATGATCTTAGAAACACGAGTTTGAGCCAATAAGATGCAAAAATCATATTTTTTTTAATGATAGATCAACACAATTTCATTAATCACCATAATTGACCAAAAATGATCTGAACCCAAGATTCAAACTAACGCATCTTAAAAATTGAACAATGGTGAATATCCAAATATGTCTAGACCGAGCACATCATTCACCCATCACAAACTCAACAATGACTTACTTTAAACGTACATCATCATAATTCATATAAATCATACATGAGCAACATGATTGAATTTATCTATGTCACACGATCATTCAATTAATTTACGAGGCATGTGAATCAAAATTAATACATGATAAAAAAACATGAAATAAAGTAAAAGTTAAAAATAAATTTATTATAAACAAGGGGTAGATTAGTCCGTTGAATTAGGATTCACTCGACTCTTTTTAACCATGATTGAGGCCGATATTCGATCAATCGAGGAGGAAAGACAAATGAAAGCGACGATCGTCGGATCTAGAGGGGCTGCTTGCATGCAATCCGAGGCACGGGCATGATAAGTGTGAGGTCGTGTACGAGTGGGCTATGGCTAGTGTGCGTGCGAGGTGTGCGAGGATGGAGGAGGCGCATAGATGAGGCATGGCGTATGGGGCTGTAGGGGCTCTAGCATGTACGTGGGGCTATGGCTTGATGCAAACGTGCCAAGAGAGGCTTACTATACGCGAGCATGCAAGGGAGGCTTATCGCACGTAGGCAAGTGCGATGGGAGGTTGGACAAGGCGAGTCGTGTGCTAGGGCATGGGTTGATAGAGAGTGCCACTAGCGTGGTATGTTGGGAGAAGCGAGGCTACTTCATGTTAGGGCGTGGGGTCGGTGGAGGCGCTATTGGCATGGACGAGTGCCGCTAGCATGGTGCATCGGGCGGGGTAGACTATGTGTGTGGGTAGGGGTTGTCGATGGCTGCCGGCATGGTGTGTTATGGTTGGAGGGGGCTATGTATATGGGCAAAGGGTGTAGGTGGTCGGAGTGCTTTGGGTGTAGGAAAGTTGGTGGCTAGGGTAAATTTCTTGAAGATGATGAATAATAGTTGCTAATTTTAAGAGAAGAGGGTGTTTTTATACCGACCTTTTAGGGTTTTTTGACCAAATTTTGTTTGGTCCCTCATTTTGCAAACCCATCTTATTTTGATCCTTTTCTCCTCTCCATGTTAATTGCATTTTCAATTGTATTTTTTACTCCCTTTTCTTTTTATTTTTTATTTGTGTCTCTTCTTCTCTTTTTTCTCTTTCTTGTTTTGGAAAAACAATTAGATGCTAATAATTACCCCTCTTTATACGAGCATAACCCTAAGTGTATCCCCAGGTGGAGTAGCCATTACGTCGTCCGAGTGACGTCGGTGCGAGGTCGATATGTAAAGGTTAAAATAGGGAAAGTAGGCAAAATGGTTAGAGTCGCCACCTAGTAGATTAGTCACTAAAAAACCCTATGATCGGTCTATTCGGAGTTTTGGATAAGGGGTTTATTATGTGTGGGGAAGATTAAAAATCACCCTATCCTATCTTGCCTAAGGCAAGTTGCAATTCGTACCACATTGATTTGATCTCCGACTTTTTAATGATGAAAGACTATGTTTATTTTCAAATATTTGCCCCCTAGTTGAGTAATTCGGGACGTGGTCGGTCGGAGGCTTTATCCTTACTATGTAACGGATGGCTAAAAAAGATGATGAATGCAAGAATGAACAACGCACATGACAACAAAACTCAAAGCGAACAAATAGGCGAACAAACAAAATAGGCGAGTCGATAGGATAGAATAAAAATATAAAAATTGGCGAGATAGGCAAAATTAGATAAAATTGACGAGATAGGCCAAAATAGGCGGAGTTTGACGAAAATGGGTAAAACAAGCAAATAATGGCAAAATTTGACAAAAACTAACAAAAATCGACGAGTTAGGCAAGAATAAGGCAACAATTGGCAATTAGGCAAAAATAAACAAAAATCGATAATTAGTCAAAAATAGGCAAAAATCGATAATTGGACAAAGGTAAGGCAAGAATCGATAATTTAGGCAAGACATCGAAAAAAAAAAAACAATTTAGGCGAACATAGGCGAAAATTGATAATTTAGGTAAACATAAGAAAAATTCAACAACGTGGACATACATAGGCAAAATCGACAATCTAGGTAAACATAGGCAATCATCGACAATTCGGACAAAAATCGACAAAAATAAATAATTAAGCAAAATTGACAACTAAGCTAAAAATCGATGAAAATTGATAATCGGATTAAGAATTGACAAAAGTTAAAAAATTGGCAAAATTAATTATCACAACAAGCATGGTTAATTGTGTTTGCCAAAAAAAATAGGTTCACACAACAAAATTCAAATTTTCTTGATTTAATGTTGTGCGTTTTTTTTATAATCTTCCACGTAATTAATTTAACGTCATTATCGACATAACGATCTTAGAAACGCGATCCGAGCCAACACGATGCAAAAATCATATTTTTTTTAGTGATAGACCAACACAATTTCATTAATCATCATAATTGACCAAAAAAAATCCAAACCCAAGATTCGGGCCAACGCATTTAAAAAATACCGAACAATGGTGAACATCCAAATATGTCCCAACCAGCACATCATTCACCCTCACAAACTCAATAATGACTTACTTTAAATGTACATCATCGCAATTCATGTAAATCATACATGAGCAACAAATTGATGATCCACGTAGTCCAAGTATCCACAAAAAGCACTCAAAATTAATGAGGTGTTAGCTCCACCTTTTCCGATTTAGTATTTCGTCTAGAAATCAATCTCGTGCAATTTTACGACAACCTTAAAAGAGAGGGATAGAGTTTTTCTTGCTAGGGTTTAGGCAAAAAATATTTTCTTTTTATTTTTTACTCTTGGCCGTGTGCCCTAATTTTATTTTTAAGGTCGGGTGAATTTTTTTCTCTCCTTTTTTTTCTTATTTTGATTGAATTTTCTCTCTCCCTTCTATATATTTATAGGAGAGTTTCCTTGGCCTCCAAGGACTAGGAGAGAGGCGGCTATGAGTCCATAAAGGACTATAGGTTGTTGCTTTCTTATCCTCTAAGGATGAGGAGTTATTTTATATGTGGACAATTTGACTATTATCTTTAAAATATTCAACCTTATCCAATAAGGTCAATGTTTATTTTTAAAACATTCAACCTTATCCAATAAGATTGATGTTTATCCTCCCACTAAAATTATCTCAAAGATCTTAATTAAATCTAATGGGCCAAAACTATTTTAGCCCAATTAATTTATTTGGACCATCCAAATAAATATTCTTAGATTATTTTGGCGAGGTCCACATTAGGAAAAATTTTCTCAAATACTCTTTAACATAAATTAAGAAACTCCTTTCCTTTTAGGCTCTTTATTTTCAAATTTGAAACTAACTTCCAAATTAGGAAACTGATTTCTAAAATATGAAACTTTCCATTTTGGAAACTCTTTCCAAAATGGGAAACTTTTATAATTAGAAACCTTTTCCAATATCTTTGATTTTCATTTATAATGTGAATACCTAGACTTATGTGTGTGACTCAATAGGTTCTTAGATATGTTGCTAATGTATAAAATATAAAAGACTCCTCTTTTATCTCTTGATACATAAATCAAGATTGGCCTTTAGCAAGACATTATGACTATCCAATTCTCTAGGAGGATTAGTTAATTTATTATTACCTTTCACGAGCATGGTTACCATACAATTTAGTCCTTATGTCAACTTATCACAATGTGATCTCGAACTTGGTTATTAGTCTTGTTCAATTATAATCATACAAGTTTTCTTCGATTCTTAAATGTCTTAGCTCCTAGAGTAAACTAGGTATGCTTTATTGGTGTACTCCTACTATGGCCATAGATTTCTTGAGCGAGAAACTTATCGAAGTGCAATGTGATAACTCTTTTAGCATACAAGGAATGACATGTGCTATCTTAGTCTTACATCTATCTCCATTGGATTCCTAGTGCACCCAATGAATCACCCACGTGCAATCTATTAATGGGTCCATCGAAACAAGTATCAAAGCGCATAAGTTTGCTAATGAGATAACCGTGATGACTTCAAGTCTAAGGACTATTTGTACCTATCTCGTATGAGATTCTCATATACTAAAACCAAATGGGTTCTTATGGTGAGTTAAGTCCAATGATACGTTCTCTAACATAAATCACCTAAGTGTTTGCTTTGGCAACACCATGCCAATAGGTGTGAGATCTCCCATTGTTGTCATATAGCATGAACATAGAACTCACAAGTCTATCTATATTTTGTCAATGTCTATTCTTGACAATGCTACGACTTGGGATGTTTAATGATATCATTTATATACATTAGTGTTCTCATATATTTCGATCAATCAATATCGCAAACGCATATCATAAGGACTTTTATCTAATTCTACCTGAATTTATCAACATGTAAATATAAGAATTAATAGAATAAATTTTTTTATTATTATTAAAATAATTGATGAAATAATACATTAACATGATCACATCCAAACATGGTTGGATCTTGGGCACCAACACTTACAATTGCACATAAGTGCGAGCGCTAGAAAGGTCGGGTGAGGTAGGCTACGTTCTAGGGTGTAGGAAGGTGGAGGCATTACTAGCATGGGTGAATGTCACTAGCGTGGTGTGTTAGGTGAGGTAGGCGGCTATGTGTTGGGGCGTGGGCTAGTGGAGGCGCCGATGTTATGGACGAGTGCTACCGGCATTGTGTGTTAGGCGAGGCGGGTTGTGTGTATGGGTAAGAAGTGTGGATGGTCGCTAGCATGGTGTGCTTATGGTTGAAGGGGGCCGTGAGTGTAGGCGAGAGGGTGTGGGTAGCTAGAGTTCTTAGAGTGTGAGAGAACTAGCGACTAGAGAAAATTTCTTGAATATTATGAATAGTAGCTACCAATTTTAGGAGAATGGGGTGTTTTTATACTGGTCCTTTTTGCCAAAATTCAGTTTGGTACTCGATTTTTCAAACCCACCTTATTTTGATCCTTTTCTCCTTTCCTTTTTAATTGCATCCCCAATTGTATTTTTTACTCCCTTTTTTTTTTTACTTATCTCTCTTTTCCTCTTTTTTCTCTTTCCTTTTTTGGAAAAAAAGAGGTGCTAACAACATATTGCCTCCATTTAAGGTGTCACTAATCGAGTTATCTAGGCATCTTATCATCATCGAATAAGTCATTCCCATTCCTATAGCTCTAGTTTAGCTATCATACCTTCATTGGTACAAGGTTAATAATGAACACGACTATCATGTTGGTCCAATAGGTCATAATATCGAGAATTGTATAGCTTTCAAAACAAGACTAAGATCTATAACTAAACCAAGATGGGTCTTTCTAGATGAAAACCCGAGTGAATCAAATGCTAGAAACAACCCATAAGCACCGTATGATGCTTAACACCCAAATGATCAAGATCATAAAAAGAACTCGAACAACTACCAACCCTACCTCTTTCACTAGCTAAAATATTTTAGCATCTAGTAAACATTGAGTAGATCAGCTCAATTCCTACTAACTAGATGTGTCCTCCTTATCCTGTATGGTATAAATCGGACAAAAGGTGCAAATATCATTCTTGTGCCACTTGGACATAACATTGAGGATGTCTTACTCTCAAGTAAAGGTTGTTGGCATTGATTAAGAAAGGACAAATCAATTTTGGTGATAGTCTACATACTTTAAAGATGAGCATGAATCCACTACCAAATCACATTATCACTAACACGGAAGGTAAAGAGACCGAGTGAGCTTGAAAGATATTATGAGGATATATGCTCACCGATTTACAAGTACCAACTTTTGATTTTATCGGATTTTAGGATATTATTCTTCTTATGTTTTG